AATCAAAGTAATAGAGCTATTCATTGCCTCAAGCATTTATCATTTTTTATGTTAGGAACATTCCAATTGCACTCTTTTAGTTATTTTGAAATGTAAAATGTGATTGTTAACTATAGTCACCTCATTGTGCTACCTAACGCTAGTTCCTTTTGTTTTGTTTTCACTCTCGCTCTCCCCTTCCCTAATAGTTTTATGGTTTTGAAGTCACCTCCACCTTGTCTCTCTAAGTCTCCCATCTTGTCAGGTTTTCTAATGACATCTTGAGGAAGTTTCTGCTCAATTTTGAGGGCATATTGCCCATCCACTATTTAGGGACCCATATGAAGCTTAGTTAATTATTGATTATGAAGACTTATCCTCTCCCTGCCCCTCAAGGCTTTATAAAGCCATGGCTCCTGGAACTAAGACATCAACCATTTGTTTTTCCAACCTCATATCTTGAACCAGGGCTCTCCATTCCAGCAGAGCCTGACTCTGACTGCTCCTTTCTCATGTGGAGTTCTTTTAGAGCCATTACTACATAGGAGCTGCACATCTGGCCTTGACTTCTGCTTTTGTCCCTTGGGTGCAGCAGGACACTGCAGAAGCCTCACCCACTGCCTTTAGCTCTTGGTTCCTTTCTCATTCATGGAAATGATCAACTAGCTTTTTGGGCCTAGCTGTGATTTACCTATTTAATATTTTATCTATCATTGCTATGTGTTCGGAGCAGTGGGGTGTTGTCCAAGTGTGGATTCACCAAACCACCTTGGCCAAATGTCCAAACTTATCAGAAGACTGTGTCTGATGGATGTCGCCTCATGTGAGGTCCAGACACCAGGCAATCTGGGTGTGCAGAAAAGTTTCACAGCCTCTGCATTAAGATGTTGTTAAAGAGGCTAAGTATGGGCTGGGTGCAGTGGCTCACGCCTGTAATCCCAGCACTTTGGGAGGTTGAGGTGGGTGGATCACCCGTGGTTAGGAGTTTCAGACCAGCCTGGCCAACATGGCAAAACCCCGTCTCTAGTAAAAATACAAAAACTAGCCAGGTGTGGTGGCACATACCTGTAATCCCAGCTACTCGGGAGGCTGAGACAGGAGAATTGCTAGAATCCGTGAGACGGAGGCTGCAATGAGCCAAGATTGCACCACTGCACTCCAGCCTGGGTGACAAGAGCAAGATTCTGTCTCAAAAAAAAAAAAAAAAAAAAAAAGGTGGAAGTAACTAAACTAATTGAAGCCATTTAAAAATGTCTTTACCTCCAACAATTTGCTGTTAAAAAAATTACTCAATGACACTTGTTAAAGCACAGTAAGGCAGGTTTTATTTGGGACCATTGCAATAGGTATAGGGACTACTGCCATGGGATTTTGCAGTTGGGGAGAGGGATTGGGCTTAACTTTGAATATAACAGGGAAAAAAATTTATAGCCAAGGAGCAGTGTATGCTGTTCTGCCTCAAAAAAAAAAAAAAAAAAAAAAAATAAAGGTAAGTGTGAACAGCAGGCACACTCCCAGGACCGTGAATAAGGGAAGAGAAGCAAATGTTGACAAGAAATTCAGGAGACCCCTCCCCACACTTTACATCAGAAGAGAAACCTCAAAAGGAGAATGGTTGGCATAATAGAAAACATAGTCGTGTCAAGTAAGCGTTGGCCTAAAATCCACATAGTAGAACATTGGATAAATGTATAATGTTTCTTGCCCAGATCTTCCTGGAAATACTATCTGTTGCAAAACTTTCTCCTATGAACTGTTTTTGGTTAATAGTTCAGGGATTTGGTTTCGTACCTTGGAGAGTTATATATCCAAGCATTTTGCTTGTCAGAACTATTTGATGGCTGTATTTGTAAAAGCAGTGGCTCAAATGTTTTTAGAAGAGATTTTCAGCTGGGCGGGATGGCTCATGCCTGTAATCCCAACACTTTGGGAGACCGAGGTGGGTGGATCACTTGAGGTCAGGAGTTCAAGACAGCCTGACCAACATGGTGAAACGCTGTCTCTACTAAAGATACAAAAAAATTAGCTGGACATGATGACAGATGCCTGTAACCCCAGCTACCCGGGGACTGAGGCTCGAGAATCACTTGAACCCGGGAGGCAGAGGTTGCAGTGAGCAGAGATCATGCCACTGCACTCCAGCCTGGTGACAGAGGGAGACTCTGATTCAAAAAAAAAAGAAGAGACTTTCAGAAGAATCTGTTCCAAAATGAACAGGGAGAAAGCTTTCTCATTGATAGTCAATATTCTGGCACTTCTTTATTTCTTTGGATGAATCAGAAACTCAAAAGGTTGAGATAGTCAGATAGGACCATTTGAGTATCCAAGAGATCTACTGGACCAAGCAATCTAATTACGTGGGCAGTTCACTCTTTTACTCCTCCATCTTGAGAAACAGAGCCTGATGTTGTAAGAAAAGATCCCAGTCCATCCTCTAAAAGTAAAACTATGTTCTTTTTCGCCTGTGATTTTGGAGTCGCTCTGCCACTTGGAGTGGTGTTTCTGCTCTTGTTCTCCACAGAATCCATCTGAACTGGCCTTAGTCACCCTAGGCTCAAATTTCAGTTAGGAAAGGTAGAGTATTATTGCCACCTATTGTCATCAGTTCTTCTCTCTGCTTCCAACAAGTGAGAGCTTCTCGTAGGAAAGTTAAGAAGTAATGTGACCCAGTGCCCTGGCTCATGCCTGTAATCCCAGCACTTTGGGAGGCAGAGGCAGGTGGATCACCTGCGGTCAGGAGTTCAAGACCAGCCTGATCAACATGGTGAAACCCCATCTGTACTGAAAATACAAAAATTAGCCAGGCGTGGTGGTGGGCACCTGTAATCCCAGCTATTTGCGAGACTGAGGCATGAGAATTGCTTGAACCCAGGAGGTGGAGGTTGCAGTGAACCAAGATTGTGCCATTGCACTCCAGCCTAGGCAACAGAGCAAGACTCCATCTCAAAAAAAAAAAAAAAGAAAAGTGAGCAGAAAGGAAGCCAAGACATCCTCTTCTTTGTTAAAACTGAGAGAGACGGTTGCTAATAGGGTTTTTTTGTAGAAGGATGTGCTTGGTGATGTGTTTGAAGACGCACAGCAGCCTTGCTGTTGCTACCTCAGCCAGATAGGCCCGGCATCCCAAACAACATGCAACCAACCCCAGGCAAACATTTTCTTAAAAAACCCAGACAGGGGTTGTGTCCTTCTTTCGAAGGTGGCATTACACTGAGGGTACTTGGATGCAGGTGCTCCAAATTACCCCAACCTCAAACAAGTTTGTCAAATTCTAGGCAAGCTGAGTATATACTCATGGGAACGTTAATAAAAATGGGAACTAACCCCGTATTTAGAAACATAATGGAGAACATTAGGCTTATCGATGCCTGTACCATGCCCACAGCATCTCTGGGGCCATTGGAAAGGGCCTGGTGAACATTTTATAACCAGGCATTCCCCAGCTACAGCATATTAATTGTGGGTGTGAATTAAATCAAGGGAGGGAGTGGATTCTCACTGGAGCTTGAGGAAAATGGTCCACTTACTGTGCTTTTTCACAGTTGCATTGCCCTTCCTCTGATGCTGGGGAGGGACAGAGGAAGGGCAGTGGTAGGGCCAGTTACCAATACAGAGAAATGGGAAGCAGTTATGTCCTTGGCAATGAATGCAGTTTTTGGACAGGGCTTAATTTATAATGGACAGTCAACATTAGTTTTCTGATTTCTGGACATTTTTCTATGTTGCCCATTTCTTGTTTATCTCTGAGTGGAGATGTTTGAGTATTTGCAGGCAAGGGAGGGAGATGGTAAGTTCCTAAATACGTAAGGGAATCCTGTGACAAAATAATATTAAGAATTATTTTCTGCCATTTTATTTGATTGTAAATTGACAAATTATAACTGTATATATTTATGGGGTATGATGTGATATTATGATATATGTGTACAATGTGGAATGATTTAATCTGGCTGATTAACACATCCATCATCACAAATGCTTGCCATCTACCATTTTAAATTGCAAAAATGGACTGAAGGATCACAGTCCTTCAACTGAAGCCCTTGGAGTCAGTTGTGTTTCAGAATTCAGAATTTTATTTTAGAAAGGTAATAGAAACCATATGCTACTTATTATGAATCACCCCTAGCAGGGTCTGGGAAGATTCTTAGAACCTATAATATTAAACATTTCTGTAGCAAACATGATTATTGGCCGGGCGCGGTGGCTCAAGCCTGTAATCCCAGCACTTTGGGAGGCCGAGACGGGCGGATCACGAGGTCAGGAGATCGAGACCATCCTGGCTAACACGGTGAAACCCCGTCTCTACTAAAAAAAAATACAAAAAACTAGCCGGGCGAGGTGGTGGGCGCCTGTAGTCCCAGCTACTCGGGAGGCTGAGGCAGGAGAATGGCGTGAACCTGGGAGGCGGAGCTTGCAGTGAGCTGAGATCCATCCAGCCACTGCACTCCAGCCTGGGCGACAGAGCGAGACTCCGTCTCAAAAAAAACAAAACAAAACAAAACAAAAAACATGATTATTTGCTCTAAGTGGGATAAGTAAAGATTTTTAATAGCATCACATCACTTCAAGTTATGACGCTAAATGCATTTTGGAGTCAAACTTACAAAAAACAACAATATTTTCAAAACTTTCTGGATTTTAGAATTGTGGGTAAAGACTAGATTTTATACAAATCGCACTGTGAGTTAGGGAGTGCTTAATGGGCTGTCCTTGGAAGCCATCAGTATTTAGGAAAAAAAAGTGTGTTTCGAACGACCAATAAAACGAACTTTTGGAACATAATCCATTTGTCATTTAAGGACTAACGGTAGTAATAAAAATAACTCAGAGTCACATTTTGAACTGTGGACAAAGCTAATATAAATATATTCATATTAGGCAATAGGCACTGCCAATAGATGAGACTTCTTAGCTACTCCTTACCCAAATCTCAGTCTTGATGATGTATCTTCTTTCTCTCTTATCTTTATTTCCCTGTTAGCTCCTCTTTTTTTTTTTTTCTTAAAAATAGTTAGTTTGTCCTAGATTTTGAGCTTATAACACTCACTCTGGATAGTTGGCAGGTCTTAATCAGGGCAAGTAGATGAGGTGTAGAAACCACAGTGATTTCAGTCTTATGGGATCCAAGCAAATTTTTTAAAAAATCTACAAAGAATTTTTTTTTTTAATTCATAGAGTGATATACCTTTAAAATTGTGTGACAGAATTGAAATGACAGGGTTAAAAATCTCAGGCTAAAAGTCACCGAGAAATTCAGTTTTTCTTTGAGGAAAACATTTCTGAGCTATCACTGACATAAACAAAATGTTTTGTTTAAACAATAAAAGAACCTCATATCTATAGGAAATCTTGAAGTTACATTAAAAACAAAAATACTTAAACCTAGAAGCTGTTACAATGGGAAACTAGACTATAAATAATTTGCAACTGGTGTGTCACTAGGAATTCCAATGGCATAAAGAAATGCTTAATAAACAAATTGCCTTTCAAGTTTAGCAACTCTGGGGATATAACACTATGAACTGTTTTTTTAAAATCTGTTGGTATAAAAGACCTGGAGAGCCTAACTGTACTGCAGATTCATTTTATTGTAGGTCCTATGAGGTCATTATAAATCTTTGTACTATATTTGAGAAAACGCAGAAAACAGTTGTGCTGTCCCCAGCATCTAATGTCATGACAGCCACGAGGCCTGGCACCTGATTTCTCCAGCACTGTGCTCACCCTTGTGTCCTGAGAGCGTAAGCAGTTTTTGATGTCTTTGAGAGTCGTCTTTACATAGCCAAATTAAAGAAAAGAAGTGAAGTAGGGTCTTTCTGTGTTAGTCAGTCTTTCCTGATCTTCACATTTCTTTAGCCACAGATTATAACAGACTGTAGAATCCCCTAACCTCCTTTGACAATTCTTTCTTGTATTTTTAGTGACCTTTGGTGAAAATACTTTGAATTTCTCTATTAGGATAGGTGAGCAGAAATTCTGATCAGAAATAGAAGAACTAGTCATGATGAACATAACTAAAATGGAATGGCAATACTCAACTTCCTAATATTTATTTCGAGCAGAGATATTAAAGATAGTCTTTATTTTTCAATGTTTTATCTGCTACTCCCTGCCTCCTCCACCAACAACAACCAAAACACTTTAAAATTTTAAATTGAAAAGTTGCCCAGTCATTCAGTGATGTCAATGATAAAGGCTGAACCATATTTAGACTAACCCCAAGGAAAGGATAATGTATTGTATTTTAAAATATTCCTTTTTACCTTTTCATGACCAATGCCTCTTCCTGCTCCTGTTTGCCCTGGCATCTTTTGGAAAGCTCTGTGTTTTGCATAGCATGTGCACTTTTTTTTCCTGAAATGTGCAACACATTCGACATTGCAGTGATTTTTTTCCCCCTCCTTAGCTCAGAGCAGAGGTGGAACCCCCAGGGGATTCAAGTACCCACTTGATAGGCTCAGTCCCTCTTAATCAGCCTGTAATGGAGCTAATGGCTGTTTGTCATCCTTGGAGATATAAATTTCCTGGCGGTGTCTCCTGCAGACAGTGCATGAAGTATGCTCAGTGTGCCAGCAAGGGCTGATAATCAGCAGAAGGACAGGGTGCTTCGTTAGTCAGAAGAGCCAGGGCTTTCCGGCTGCCAGGCTACAGAACTCTCCTCACCACTCTTGAGACATGGACAATGCCGGTAGGTAAAACAAGCATGAATTCTTCATAGCTGCTGGCTTGCTTTGCAGCCCGCATCCTTTGCTGCGGAAGGTTTGCCTATTTGTTGCTCTCGTTTCACACTTAAATGTTCAAGACTGAGACGCGTGTAATATGTGTACCCCGATGCATTGTCCACAAGACAATTAGTGTTTACTTTGAAGTTTAGGAACTGGGAATGCAGATTGTCATTCCAAATTCACCTTTTGTGAAGACTACTGCTATTTTATTTAGGCTGCAGCAAGTGTGGTGTTTGATTCTTTTGTGCTCAGAGCAGTGGGTGGAAAATGCATACAGTTAGTGAAAAAACTATTACTAAGGGATGGCACGAGGTAGATGGAATTAAGTTAATGAGCTGAGCAAAAATTCTGTATAAATATTACAATATGCACAGTGTAACAGCATAAGAGCTCTTTGGTCTGATGCTTTCATCTTCATCGTTAGGATGCAATGTCGAAAATGTTTTGATAGCCTCTGATATTTTAATTTCAGAGTAGAGACATTAGTGGTCAATCGTGAACCTTTAAAAATGTATTTATTTTTAATATCTTTACTTGATAACTAGAGAAACATGATGGTTGAAGTATTTTAATGTCAATTAAATAATTAGCATAAAATTATCAGGTGGAACTTTTTTCTGTTTACTTTGCTGTATTGAACTTTCAGAGGAGATATACTGTGAGATCATGCCCCATTTCAGTGTTGTCGGCACTCAAGCAGAATTGTCCCAGCTGTGTTATGGATTATCTGTCTCCTGAAGCTCATTAGTTCAGTTACTCAGCTGGTATCAGCTTGAAGGTGAGGCTTCCCATGCCTTGAGACACGGTCAGCTCTTCTAAGAGGTTACATCATTTAAAACACATTCTACAAGACCACCTATTGGTGGTGAAACATATTTGTTTACGAAATTGAGCTAGTTCAGTCCTCGGTGCAGGTAGCATAGACTAGCAGAGATTTTAAAGTCAGTGTGTATTGGGTTCTTTTATGAAATAGCTTACCAGGAACAAAACTCTGTGACTAACATAATTTGGTCATTGCCATTGAAGACATTGAAATAAAGTGGAAGAGTATAGTATCAGGGATGAAAGGTGGTGGAAGAAATGAAACAAGTGTAAAGATGTGTGTGTAGTAGTAGCAGGAGGGAAGCTGGATGCATGCATATGGATTATACCACCATTCTGGTCATTGAGAAAATACACCATAGGACTTATCATAAAAGCAGGTAGGTATGGTATTCCATGACAAGGCACAATTTGAAGATCAACCAAAAGCTTCTCTAATTACAGCAATAGAGTGAGTAAAAAATAAACATATAAACTTAGAATCTCTAATTTAACCTCGTTTAAAACTTCTGCCACCCACGATTTATTATACTGACATTCTGGCAGAATAATCACTTTAATCCAAGTAAATGCCTTTTTAAACTGACTCATATATTTATTTAAAGGCCATTTAAAAAAAGGAAAGAAACTCCTGTGGCAGACTTTATGTAGGCTTAAAAATGCTAAGGGTTATTTGTCTTTTTTGGGTAACCAGAGCTTTGGGGGATGTTTTCACAATTTTTAGTTATGTTATTAAATGCAATTAATAAAATACCTCTGCTCTTGATGAGTTTAAGATTATTTACACACTGTGGAGAGTGGCTTATAAACTAGCAATTTCTATATCATTTCAAATTTTAGATGTAATCTCAAATATAGTCATAGATACCTTGGAATAGAATAACAGGTTTTAAATCACATAATTTGAATATTTCAGAAATAGCATGCTTCTTATAATGGCTCATAATTGGCTGTCAGTGATCACTTTTCATGGTAATTTTTTGATGAGGTAAGCAGCCTCTCTTACAGGAGGAAAATGTAAACATCCATTACATACACATGTTTCAATACATTATATTGACTGTAAGGAAAGCATTTAAGATAGTACTGGTAGGTGACCAAAAAAAATCTGAAATAGCTTGGAGCACTACAGTTTATCCAAATTAATTTAAAGAAGAAAATGATGTTGAGTATTTGACTAAATTTTTCTAATCAAAAATGGGTTGAGTCCATGGATTTCAGAGCTAGTAGTTTAGAGCTGGGCACTAGTACTAACAACTGGATCATTAGTTTCAAGGAGCCAGGCCTTCTTCCAGCAAGGCTTTCTGCATGGGAGTTTAGATAATTGACAGGCAGAAGCACAGCAATGGCCCCACACAGGTGGAATGTCCCTCATTTATTCAAGTCAGATAGAACGCTGCATCAGGGTATTTGTGCATGGTTTCTGCTGTTAATAAGTAAAGAAAGATGTGCTGCTTGGGACTCCAGCCCTTTTGGTGGGTGTGTGTACATTTCAGCTATCATGCCATTGTATATCCGTCCTTTCTCTCCTTAGCAACAAAGAGCTGACATTCCTACTATCTCGGAGAAGGAGACATCCCTTCCCCATAATTGCTGGCTTATGTATTCCTTTAAAAGCTTTTCCTGGAATAACAATAAAATATTTATCAAACTGTGTGTGTGGAATATGTCAGGGCAATTTTAGCAATATCTAACATTTTCTTCTTTTTTTCAAATGGCTATTTATTCTTAGAAGTTATATAACAAGTCGAATAGATGGTGCTTTACAATGACAAACCCATGACTACAAGTACCATCAGTGTTCTGCCAGTGCCACTATCCTCACCTCCATTAAGTGGTTCTTCTGAATGAATTGTGATAAGACATTCAGAGGCAAAGTTGATTGGTATGTGATTTTTTTATCTGAAACACAATTTTTGAAATGTAATTCCAGTTCTACAGTACAGAGTACTGTAAAAAAAAAAAAAAAAAAGTTCTGCAGAATTTATTGTTTTGGGTTTTCCCTACTTGATATCAAGATATTTCAGTTACCATGTGTGGGTTGAAAGAGCCACACTCATTTGGAGGGGAGGTGGCAGCTACTGAGAGCCCCTAAGCCTTCACCGTGCATTCTAGCTCAGTGGTTCAAAGGCTTTTGACCATTGATGTACAATCATTGAGTTTGGAAGGTCACAGTCTGCCAGCTCCCTGCAAAAGAGACTCAAAAGCTCTTTGGAGTCAGACTGAGGAAGGGTTTGGAGTGGAGTAGTTGAGAGCGTCAGATAATTTTAGGTGAATGTTGGCTCTGCCACCTGTCATCCGAGTGACTGTGAACAAGTAATAGAAACTCTATGCTTTTAATTTTCTCATCAGTAAGTGTTGACAATAATTGTACCTATCTCATAGGATTACTGTGAAGAGAAAATAAGATAACTCCTGTAAAGCTTTTGGTACAATGGCTGGCATATGGCAACATACAATGCATGTTGGCGTTTTAGAGAGCCATCAAAAGATTGAAGCAGATTGTTTTATGAACAAATAAATATATGCTCCAGCAGCATGGCTCTGAAAGAGGTGCGGATGACAGTGTGGGAAAGTGAGCAATTCTGAGCAAAGAGACTAGTCAAGTGGCTGTCTCAGAAGTAGAATTGGAAATTAATGTGGGTGGTGCAATGGGCACGGGGTTGGGGGATGCATTGGATATGCATCAGCAGAGCACGATGAGTGGAGTTTTAGGTAGGGAGAACTACAAAGTCAAAACCCGGGAGGTTTCCAATTAGAGAATTTAAGACAATAGTCCTGCACTATTGAACACAAAATGAGTTTTAAGAGAAAGACAATGAGTTCCATTTTGACATTGTTGGGTTTGAAATACCTTGTGTGTTGCCCACTAGCCATAGTAGTTGGTTCACTGATGACTTAAAGGATTAAAAAGGATTCCTGCCCCTTCTCCCTCCAGTCTGTGGGAGATCCTATGGAATGGTATAGAGAAAGGAAACTTTCAAATGCTTCATCTTTTTTTTATAGATGGAAATAAGACCAGGCAAAGAGACACATACTCCTAAGCATTGAAATAATTAGGGTAAAGGCCAGGCTGTTGCATAAGAAAATGTAAGCATAAAGACATTTTATTTCAAGCTGGTTCAAAACCTTAGCAGCCCAAGTTGTCATGCCAAAGTTCCTGAACAGCTGAAGATAGTGATTCAGGAGAAGGGTTACCGAATGGGGCAGACATCCAATAATAATGCATATGTTTTGAAAGAGGATGCTTTCTAGAATATTTGACTATGTTTGCAAACTCTATTTTATGCAATAAAAATTTTGTTTCCTCTAATCCTCCACTTTCGTGATATCTTGGTCTTGCTATCTATAATTCTGCCAACCATGATACTTTTTAGAAATGTATTAATGTTATATACACACACACACATACATAATATGTACACATACATTTGCATGTGTATTGTTAATATATGTACCTATGTGTGGATTCTTTAACTAGGGGATTGTCAGTCTCGATGTAGGGGAATGTAATGTTGCTATCTCTTCTAAAAACCTTAATAAAAAATTAGAACAGATTTTCTTTTTAATTAAAAAAGAAATTCATTCTTATCCTCTGAAATACCCCTTATGTTGTAAAGATTATTATTTAACATTTTATTAACTACCAAGCAAATTACAGTATTTTTCTTTGAATTTATTGTGAAGCCCATTGTGCTATTTTGGCATTTTATATTTCACAAAATAAATATTCTTAGAAGCATCCAGGATTCATGTAAAGATATTTTTCAAAGCAAAAGTTAAAAATTGATAAATAATCTGTTTTTTGGAACATCTGTTTTCAAAATGCTAGTATTATTATCAAAATAACTGTTTTAAAATAAAAATGCCAAAAAGAAAAATAAGTTCATATATAAACATAAAAGTACTGCGAAAGTGGGACTAAATTTTCTTCCTAGTTTTACTCTAATAGTGAGTGACTGTGACCTCCTGATGGTAAACTGACAGTCATGGCCCAAGAGTGTGCACGAGCAGGACAAAGTCTTTGTTTCTGAAATTAAGTTTTTACTATTGTTTCAGGATCACTGGAATTGGTTCTGAGTGTTTCTTTCTTTGCAACCACTCATCTTTCCAAAGGCAGAATGATGTGATTTTTCGTACA